TCCCACCCTCTGCCGCCACCTCCTCATCGCCGCCGCCGCCCCGGACCCTTGGACAGTGCCGGCCGGCCAGGGCCCCTCCCCGCGCCTCTGCACACCGCGCCCCACCTCTGCCCCTCCAAGGCCGGTCCTGGGCTCAGCCTGCCACAGAGAGCTGCCGGTGGGGTTGGGTGCCGCCGCCGGATGCCGTCCTGGGATCAGCAGCGGCGGGCAATGAGGAGGGGGGCTCGTTCCCACGGGGCCACTGTGGGGAGAAAAGCCACATGGCAAGGCCCCAATCAGGCACCTCCCCGTGGACAGGTGGACTCCGAGGGGCTAGGAGGCAGCACGTGGCTGAGGCCCATCTGGGCGGGACCCACCTTGAACACCTGCGGCCTGTGGATCAGCCCCATCAGTGAGAGGAAGCCCCCGTAAGACCAGCCATGGATGGCGACGCGACTGAGGTCAACAAAGCCGTACTTCTCAGCCACGAACTTCAGGCCCTCCACCTGGTCCTCGATCTCCACCTGGCCCTGAGGACAAGGCCGCACGGCTCCGGCACCTCCTCTGGGCACACCGCCATGGCCGCCCACCCCGGCCCCGAGCCCCAGCCCTCTCTGGCAGACCCCACCTGATCTCTGGGGAGGCCAGGGTGCTGGGCAGACACAGTCCCATCCCTGCCCACCCCACCAAGGTTCAGTGACTCTGGGGAAAATCCTGGCGCCCTCTGGGCCTTAGTTCCCCGGTGTGAGCAGGAGCCCAGGCAGAGCGGACTCCGGGTTGGGAGGACACAGGGGGTGGAGGGGTGTCCTGCACTCAGAAGTCTGGTCCATGCTGAGCCTTAATCCACAGGTTTAAGTACCACCAACAGTGCCATGTCTCCACTACCTCCACCATTATAACCATCATCATCACCATGACGAATGTCACTACCATCACCTCCATTACCACCACTTCCACCACCATCACTATTACAACCACCACCACCACCTCCATCGTCTCCACCACCACCATTACCTCCACCTCCTTCACCACCATCACCATCACAGTCACCACTACAACCACCACCATCACCTCCACCACCATTACCTCCACCTCCTTCACCACCATCACAGTCACCACTACAACCACCACCA